TATATATATAGTGAGTGTTGTCACCCTAGGATGGAAATTGTGTTATCTGCAGGATTACCAGGTGGAAAAAAAAAAAAGGCAAGTGATGCAGCCATCACATTTCAGAACTGGTTCTTTTGGGTTCAGATGGGCTTTAATTCTCCACCCATTCAGCAACACCTTAGCAGAAACGTAGTATTAAAATATACTCCAAACACACTGGACAATTGATAAGCAGAAAGTTACTCGCCTGAAGTACTTATCCATCAGCCTCTGCAGATCCTGTACCCAACCCTCCTTCCCCGGGTGGATGGACTGAGTTCTGTAGGTTATGAGGTTCACTACTGAGGCTGCCTAGAAAGAAATGAAAACCAGAAAGATCAATGACTAGCAACCACACAGAGTAAGCTATGAGATGTATTTATATGGTTGTTTAGGAAGTCTTTAGGATCCATGTTGATGATTGAACCAGTATACAGCTAAGGGCCCATTTATGCGGGCACTATCATTTGTATATTCAATGACTTTAATATTCATATAAGTCTGTTCTTGGAAAGGTGATAGTCTACTTCCTCATAAATAATGTACTGACTGCCAAAGCTGGATAAGGAAGACTGATGATGGTAATATGAAGTCATCTTTAATCCAGCTTGAGGCTTAAACGGTCACATTACATGGCAGGTGCATGCAGCACCTATGGCTTATCATGGTGGGAGCAACAGTTCTCCAAAGCATACAAAAGCCATTTCTTCTCATGGCATGCAAGTGGCCACAGACTGACCTCCAAACAAATCAGCTAGCAACTATTCCATGTCTATATTCACCACAATAGTGCAAACTGTGCATCAAATTGTCTGAAAAAGATCGGTTTTCTTTTTATGGATGCTGTCCAGAGCAGCCAAATTAATTTTAGTCTCCCAGACAGTGTAGGAAACAAAAGCAATAATGAGCGGCAGCAATGGGGGGGTATGGTCCATTTTATGGAAATGCCATTTCATGAAATTCATTTTGAATGGAAGCAGTCAAGAGCAGGCATTTAAAAAATTGTGACGCTACACTCTTTAAGTGCAGCCTCATCTCTAAGGCATGGCTGTATGTGCTGTTATTCACTCGTATTCTATCCCCAGCACAGCACAAATGTCAGCCTAGTGTCAGGCTGTAAAGGCCTCTATGTAGGCTCACCTTTCTGCTACCTGAGCTCCAGGGTAATAACCAACACTATCGAGGCTGCTGAAGGAGGGAAAACAATCACTTAAAAGTGATTGGAAGTTATTCTGACAGCACCTTCATTGTATGACAGTCCGAGTAAACATTACCAGCACTGGTCTCAGGCAGGGTATAGCATGCCCTTACAGGTGAAGACTCAGCCAAACGCTTCTGCTTGGCAGGAAGAGAAAAGGTGCAAGTAGTCAAAGCTCAAGCAGGAAGGGTGGCACAAAAATCGAACAATTTTAAAGTTGAGATTTATATTACAGATGCACATTGGTGACTAGTTCTCTTTAAGGCTGCCTTAAAAAAAAAGGAAGAGGCTTCCCCTATTCGTGGTCAACATAGCCCTGGGGCCCACTACTTTTTCTTGTGTCACTAGGCTGATAAACAGAAATGGCGCATAGTAAGTTAGTACTTTCTTTTCATCCACTTTTTGACAATTGGGGTGGATGGGTTCCATTGCATGGAGGTTTTCCAACAAGCTGGAAAATGTGGGTGTAATAGCAAAAGATTCTAAAGCGCTCATTATCTCCATCACAAAGGTAGCCGATATGGACCTGACCCTGCACTAGGCCATCCAACTGAAGAGGATTTGGAAACTTATGGCCATGGTGGTCCTCAATCTAAAGGTTAGATTGCATCCTATGAATAAAAACTATAAAATATCCTACTCCAGTACTGGAAACAATGTAGAAACTTACAGGCTGATCGTCAGAGTGTCTCTCCACCAGTTCAAAAAATCTCTCATCATCCCCATGGAAATCGCTCTGGTCATAGAGCTCCTCCACCGCGGTCAGCAAATTGTGAACGGCAGTTTTCAACTCCTGACTGCGAAGTACCTAAAATCAGCAATGAAAACATTGTGTAACTAAGGGAGCCCATAGAAAGAAGGCAACAACTTCTGATTCAATTATTAGTTGCCACTTGTGTATTGTAAAAACCTGCGAGGAGGTGGAAAAAGTATTTCAAGAGCGCCGTTTTTAACTAGCGCTTCAGAAAAATCACACTTGAGTGGCCGACGTGCCTTTGACTGGCTGTGATGTGAGCCATCATATAAAAAGGTGACCATAAAGGGGATAAAATACCATGATGCATTTTGTAACCACGAGGCAATTGCCTTAAATCGGCAGTTGAGTACCTGTAGCTGCTGAAACAACTTTTCGATGATAGCCAGGAGCACATCCCACGTTGCCGCCTGCACTTCCCTCCCATACTTCTTTATGAGTCGTGTGATGGACAAGACAATCTCATAGGAAACCACAGCATTCGGGCAATTCATAGCCTGAACAGAAAATAAAACAAATTAATAAGTCAATGAGAAATTCTTTAGTCCGGCATTAAGAGTTCCGCTAATGCAAAACGTTCAGTTCAAATTCCATACAAAACTTTTTCATTTTAGGAGAGAAACTATGTTTAATTTACTTTCAGGTCTTTCTAGTTATCTATGACTGCATATGGAGAACCCCCACAGCAGTCTAGTAGTGAGGGCTAGGACTCATTGGTTTAAGCAGTACAGCTTGGGTCTCCTATGTACAGCATACATTCTTTACCCATTACTATAGAAAGTACCCTACGAAGCTGGTAACAGAATGTAATCCCTACCCAATGTGGACTAACCATATAACCAGGGGCGTAACTAGAAATCGCAGGGCCTTGTAGCAAAATTTTGTATGGGGCCCTGTGATTTCTAGCTACACCCCTTGCAGAGCCCACCTGATATCCCAAACAGTCCACCTGAGAGTGACCCTGCAGAGCCCACCATAGACTATCGTGGGCTCCGCAGGGTCTCAGGTGGGCTGGTCACACCCCTTACCTGTCAGCCCCGATCAGATGACTGCCTCTTCTTCCTCCACGGTCACTGGTGGGCCTCGCCTCCTCCACTGCCGACCCCGGGCCCTGCCTCCTCCACTGTCGGGTCCAATCTCCCCCCTCCACAGCTGCTGGCTGTTACTGACTCAGCAGCGGCTGTGGAGAGGAACGTGCCGCTGCACAGGTCACCGCCGCCTGGGTTACTATGGTGATTGTTACGCCACTACATATAACATATGACGGATGCCTACCAGAAAGGGGGAGCAGGAGGTCAGTTCATACCCCAGACCTGGCTTTCAACCAAGCTAAGAATGCCGAAAATTCTAAGCCGTCGGGGAATCAAACACCACTTCACTCCACTAAAATATGGAGTAAAGTTCACACATTTGCTAAACTATAATGCATGCATCTCCTCCTGGGCCAGCCAATGTAAGATAGATAAAGATGCAAAGCCTGGAAGAAGACAGAGCGGAAACATCGAAGTTGGCAAACGAGGATGAGGACATCGCATAGCTGGAAGGGCAGTGACTTAATGGACCAATAAGCGCAGTTCTGCAGCAATGCTAAACAGGCACCTTCATTCCAGAGCTGCCCCCTGCAGTAGATCTTTTCTGACACAATATGTCCTCCGAGCACAAGACCAAGGCCATACTGTGAGTGCAGGGTGTCAAGGGCCTTCCCCCTGCATATGCAATGGATTTATGTGGAGAATGGTGAGGATGTGATGACATTGTTTTTTTGCATCAGTGATGGCCATCAAGCTCAGAGAAGATGCAAGCAGAAGAGGACCCAGCATCACTGGACTATCCAGAAGATATTTGGAAATGGTAGAAATAAAAAAAAATTAAAATACAGTCGGGGGTCTGGTATTCAGCTTTAAAATATACTTATAAAAAGTATATACACATAACGCCAATATTGAGTACACATGTTGAGGGGGAAAAAAAATTTGCAAAGATTCCTGAGCCTGCTGAAGCACAACCTACCTTCAGAAATGATGGCAGTACAGAGATCGGAGAATTCTTCAGACAGAAGAGCCTGTGTGCTCCCCAGAGCCCCATCCCAACAAAGAAGACGGCCCCTCTCAACAATGGGGCATCTTCCCAATACACCCTGAGAAAACAAGAGACCACAAATGAAGGGTCAGACAACTGAGGATACAAATACAACTTGTGGTTCCTGGAGCTGTTAGTGCCTGAAATCAATGGTGCTTCACTGCACAGCAGTTCATAGTGAGATTTCACACATGCTTAAAAGCGGACCTTTACACTTAAAAATCAAATTCTACCAATGCATCCCTCTATGTATGATGGGTAATAATGACAGACATGTCAGGTGTAAAATGCTGTGATTATCAAATACTTACACTTGGAGAGCATTCACTTCCTGCTATGAAAGTGCAAATGACTTCAGTTTGCCAACGCAATGCACACTGGGATTGCCTTAGCAGCAGAGCATTGCTGGGAAATCTCATGAGATCTCAGGGAAAGGTATTTTCCTCCCCTGAGATGATGTGCATGGTCACATGTCTGGTCACATGTGCCAGAAATCCAGGAAGTAAAAGGGGACCTAGCAATCTGCCCTTAGTAAACATGGCCACTGTCAGAAGACTGGGGAAGAAAAAAGAAAAATAAGGAATGCAAAGAATACAAAGCCGGCAATTATCGAAGTGTGTGTTTGTAGATTATCATTACTTAACACTTTCTAAAGGTGTGTTTGTTGTTATTTTAAAGATATGGGTAAAGGTCCGCTTCAATGCACTTTTAACATCAATTTCCTTTTTTTAAATGGAAGCAAGGCCTCGATTCCCACCAGGTTTGTAAATATCCTAATGATCCCTCCGGTGGGAGTTTCCAACACCTATAATGGCTGTGATGGTGCTTGAAGCTTAAATCAAAAACCTGTCCACCCAGCGTTAAGCTTGACAAATTCCATTTGCGAATCATTACCGTCTTTAGATGGAGCAGAGGAAATTGCTATGCTCCTTGGCTCTGTCTAATGGCAGTAATGCATTGTGCAGAGCATTCTCCCAGCTATACACAAAGCGGAAGTTTTATACAACAAATACTGGTAATTCATTGCTGTATATCATAGCCATGGCAAGGGTAGGAGACAATTTCTACACAGGGCATCAGAAAATCTTTACACACCTAACCAGGGCCAGATTATGAGCAATGGATGTCCTTAGTACAGCCCAACAGTTATACTTACTTTATTCATC